ATCTGGAAAAATATTAAAGTGGAAGAAATTTTAATTCTTCATAATTATACGTAGTATGTGGTGACAACAATATTGCTAAAAAGCTGCTCCATTGGCAGTGGCATTAGATCAATCGAGGGTTCAATACGATGTAAAAGCTGAATTGTGTGTGAAAATTATTAAGCCCACCCCTATAAGGTTTGTGTAAATATGGGGACAGCGTGTGAATTGCTCAGCTCGTGCAAGCTCCGATTGCCGAGTTAATGACCATTCTTCTCCGTAGGTTACTTATTGTTGGTAAACCAGTATATGTTTTAGTGGGTATTTACTCAATTGCCAGTAATGCGAATTATTAATCTTTGAAATCCATTTAAATTCATTTTTATATTTCAATTTTCACTAAATCATTATTTGAAATTAGAAATGCTTTCTTTTAATCATTATCAATACTTGAAGCAGGGGAAGAATTCAAATTTTCTTTTCTGAGAGCACTTCAAATGAAAGTGTCCTATGAGGTCATACATACCTTATCTACTTTTTTTACTTCCAGTTAAATTGTAAGATTTTGCAACAATGAAACAGAAGTTGTTATTGAAATTTAACAATATATCTTTATATATATGTAATATATTCATTTAAATTCATTTTTATATTTCAATTTTCACTAAATCATTATTTGAAATTGGAAATGCTTTCTTTTAATCATTATCAATACTTGAAGCAGGGGAAGAATTCAAATTTTCTTTTCTGAGAGCACTTCAAATGAAAGTGTCCTATGAGGTCATACATACCTTATCTACTTTTTTTACCTCCAGTTAAATTGTAAGATTTTGCAACAATGAAACAGAAGTTGTTATTGAAATTTAACAATATATCTTTATATATATGTAATATATTCCCCACCATTGTTCCAAGTATTCAATGCATATTAACGGAGGTAAGATATAGAAATGTCATTGAATATTTTCAAAATATAACTTAATTGATTAATGTAATAATTTTTTTTAGAAATACAGATATTTTTAAATAATTATTCTGTTTTGTTCATAATATATAGCTGAGATTATAGCTTTTAACCATTGTCCTTTTGTAAAGGGGATTTGAACTGAGTTTGATTTGTGATTTGATTTGATTTTTTTCCTGGCCATGGTATTTGTAATTTTTGTAAACATTTTCTTTTTTGTTAATTTAGAATGGGTCAGATTTAAAAAAAAAAAAAAAAAAAAAAAAAAAAATTCCTCCTCTAACAATTCTGATGCAGTGTATATATATATATATGTAAAAAAAGAAAACAAAACAAAAACACATATAAAAAATAAAAACAGAACATTGAAGAAAAATCAATACATGTATATTTTTACCTCATTCTCTTTGTTTAAATTGTCCTTTATTTATTTTATTTTTTTTTTTTTTTAATTTATATAAATTAAAAAAAGGTTATGTAAATACACTTGTAAGTTTTCCGAAGAGATTGTTGTTATCTCTGATAATCAATGAATGAAGTATGTACATAATTGAATTATTGCACCCTGGGGATCCATTACATGTAGCTATGGACAACTGACTGGACACATTGTGGGGACTGACACCCTCAATAATCTTATTATCAATTCATTCATCAACTTAGTTTTTGCCACACAAATGTTGGAAAGACTTTTCTGCAGGTGTAAATTAGTTAATTTTCCCTCTGTCTTTAACAATATCTTTTATCTTGTTGAGTTGAGCTGCTGATTGGGTGTAGTAGCTGTATAATCAGATTTAAGGCTGATGTCTGGGAGATATCTGTTTCTTTAAACAAGACATCTTACTGACAAGCTGTAGATAACCGCTGACACTTAGCTAGTAGATGAGCTGATACCTAGCACCTTATAAACTCAGGTGTTCTAAGGTATCTCCTCTTAAGTCTAGAGTAGTTTATGATACACTTCTGTCCACTCTGATTATTTTGTGTCATATATTTAATTTACAGTAACTATGATAGCTAAAACAAAGAACATTTTACAAATAAGACAGATGGTAACAGGGCTCTTGGCATAATGCTTAAGGCTTGACACCCCTAACAAATATACTCTGAATGATTGAAAGAGAAAGGATATGTATGCAAGGTTTTCAGCAGGAAATCACGGAATAGGGGTTATAAACTTGTAAAATCCATGCATGCCATCCAGCATGACATATGTCCCAAACCTGTGACAAAATCAAATGATTTACAATGATCTGAAAGCACCTTATAAAAAGTTTGCTTGGTTTCTTATATACAAAATTTGATTTGGGGTGTCTTTGTTATGGTATGTATGTCAATTCTTTGTCATAGTTTGAACTAAGAGGAAGACAGGATGTTTGATTGAATGATAAAGGTGTTCTCTATGAGCGACTTTCAATTTCAATGATAATATTTTGTAAGAAATTCCAGCTGTGCCCTGAAGTTTGTGTTGATTTCAGCCCTGAACAGCTACTGGTAGACTACTGACACCTAGTCCCCCTGAATTTATTGCCTTTCTAATCTCCGCGAGTGTGTAACAATTTTCTCTGTTTTCTTGTCACCAGACATTCCTCTTCTGAGTGACAGCAGTGCTCAGTGGTTGCCAAGCACGGCCATTTTTGGCAGATTCTGAAGGGATTGATAACGTTCCTTATATTGACTAGAATATGTTTGAATACATACATACAGATAAAGGCGCCGTACCCCAATCTTCAGTAAGCAGTGATAACCTCCCTTGTCTTTGAGTTATCTGCCTTGACACACAGAGTCTAATCTGTGGTACAGATTTGCAGCTTTAAGATATTGATACAAAACTTTAACTTTAAAGTCAAATCCTTTAACTGTTTGATAATTAAAATCTAATGAGAAATACTTCTGAAATCAAATAGTTGGCTTAAGTTCAACTCTTAATTTGTTGACATAAATATGAACTACTGCAAGGACGGATTGACTTTGCAGAGACAATATGAGAACAATTAAGAGATAGAAGTAGTTTTTCAGCATTTTTGTTTTCCTTTGTTATCAATTATCTTTTTCTATGCCTGCAATTACGTGACTAACCATAATATCAGTCAGCTAAAAAATTCTTTAGGGATTTAAATAGTTTCAATTTTTGTAATTAATAAAGTTTGGTATTTTTCCAGATTCTCTCTTTTATTTTACTGTCTTCTGGTAGTTGGTCTCTTTTATTATAATATCTTAAGGTAGTTTTCAAAAGTTAAAAAAAGACTTTATTGTATATAAAACATGCCCTCATGACTTGTGAAATGGTTGGAATTTGAAAATCCAGTTCAATCCTTCATTTCTGGGCATTGTAAATCAGAGTATATCTGATTGAACAATTTATTGACAACAATTGATATTAATTTAAAAATCATAAAACTGAATTTTAAAGCAATTATCTAAATTCCATTACATGCCCTTCCTTTTAGCATGACCAGAGGAAACAAGTAAATAACAAGCTTTGTAATCTTGTAAAGATGTTAAAAGCTACTCAAAAGCTTTATGGATAAATCTTGATAAGATTATCTCTTAATTTCATTACATGTACAAGGATAAGTCTAACTCAAATATATCAGGAACTCTAGGTGTTTGTCAGGGGGAACTTTACTCTGTTTATAGAGAGGCAGCTTCTGTTTAGAATACTCCCCCTCCCAAGGAGAGAAATGGAGGACCCCTGTGGTTTAGTCCCACTCAGTACAGAGCTTGGACACTAAATTGTTGACTTTTGTATTGGACCTTTGTAAATACATTTATATGTCACTTACTTATTTGTAAATTTTAGCCAAAAACACTTTTCTTCAAAATTTCATTTTTTTTAATAAATCTAAGCTTAATTAACTATTGAATAAAAAAAGATACCATTCGTAGACTAAAAAATATTTTTTGAAGTTATTTCTAGATGCTTAATTTTTAAGTCATATTCTTTTCAAAAGATAAAAAAAATACTAGAATGTAAAAATGTTTTTTGGGGAAAACCATTAGTAAAGTGATAAATTCTGTGGAAAACAGAAGGCATATCTTTTTTACTGAGACTCTCTCCTTTGATCTAGTTAATTTTGATAATCCTAGATAGTGTAGTGAAAACAGAAATTACATAAAAGCTTTTAATTATTATCATAATGTATACACTAGATTGAAGGCTACTGTGTGTTTATACAAATATACCTTTGTTTACAAACAATAAGTAAATGTATGAAAACACATGTCTTTATAATATTAACAGTTTTTCTGTGAATCCACAAAGTTGAAAGTGATTTATTTGTTTTTCTATTATTTCACACATTTGTTAAAACATATTTAGTTGTTAAAGCTTAGCAATAAACTTATTTAAATGTATTATTTTGCAAAAAAAATATTTTTTATAATAGTGCATATTTTTATATAATTTTTCATAGAAAAAAAATAGAAAGAAGAATTTACTAAATACCAAAGAATTGTTTGGATGTTTAATGACAACCCATTACAGGATTTGTAGAAATAGATATTGTTTGCACAATTTTGTCCATTATCTTGAGTGGTCAGTGGATTGTCTTGATTGGTCAAGGCTCTATTCTGATTGGTCAGTCAGTGCTGGTATTGAGTCAGGCATGCATATTAGGCCCCTCCCACCCAATGAACTATCAGACAATGTGTCCATGCATTTTTCATGGGACTTCTGTCAATCTGAGAGTGGAGGTCCAACTTGTATTGTGAAGTAAAACATTGATTTTCTTATTTGGAGTCATATGTCTTTTCCAGGTGAATTTGGTCAATAGGGTTTTTTTTTTCTTTAAACACTGTAATCAGTTTAATTATGATTTATGAAAGTTAAATTCATCTTCATATGTTAAATAATTCTGCTCTTCTATTTTTTTTCTTTTCAAAAACCACAATCAATCATAATTAACTAAAAAAATTACTTTGAACCTGATTCATTGTTTGTAAGTAAATATTTTACATATTTTTCTGTTTTTTTTTAGGTGTGTGTTTTCCTTATCACCGTACAACAGACAATTTGGTACCTCAAAGAGACAGAAAATAAATCAACATATTTTTTATCTATGGAGTTAATTCAATAATGCATGATGGGGCAAGGAATCCGACAACTTTTTCTTCTTCTTGCTTTAGACATATATACTCAAGTGACTGTGGGTCAGGAAATTTCTCTCAAATACGACCTATTGGAACAACAGTCTCGTGAAACATTTGTTGGAAATGTGGCAGTGGACAGTTTACTAAAGGCAAATGTAACTCAGGATGAACTGGATCGCATGAAATTTCAAATTCTTACCCAGTCAAGTAAAGATGCTTCCTATTTTATGATTCATGAGAAATCCAGCACAATCAAAACGGCCAGCGTACTGGATAGAGAGGTTCTGTGTGAGTTTGAAGTTCAGTGCGTTCTGGAATTCAGTGTGGCAGTTTACAAACAGGATCCTCAACACAGCAATCAACTTGATCTCTTCAAAATTTTTGCAATCAAAGTGAATATTCTGGATGCCAATGACAATGCCCCGACCTTTCCTCAGTCCCAGGTGACCCTGAACGTCCAGGAATCAGTCCCGGTGGACTTTGTCCTCCTGACCAGCGGGGCGGTGGACCCAGACATGGGGGTGAACAACTCCATCCAGTCCTACACACTTATACCCAGCAACGAAATGTTCGGACTGAAAGAAATCAAAAATATTGATGGCAGCACAGATTTAGGACTTGTGGTTCGGTACAAGTTAGACAGGGAAACTCTGGACTTCTATCAGGTGGAGATTGTTGCTAAGGATGGGGGATTTCCCCAGCGATCAGGAACTGTTCTCGTTAATATTACTGTGATTGATGATAATGACAATCCACCAACATTTTCTCAAGCTAAATATGATGCTGCTGTCCCAGAAAATCATCCTGTAGGAAAGAGCGTACTAACATTATCGGCCCAAGATTTGGATATTAACGAAAATGGGGAATTCACTTTTTCATTCAATTCAAGGGTGCCACAAAAAATAAAGGACAAATTTGCTGTGAATGAAACCTCAGGGGAAATTTACACGATTTCAGATATTGACTTTGAGGAAGAGGAGAATTATCAATTCTTGGTGGAAGTGAAGGATAAGGGCAGAGAACCTAAATCATCTACCTCAATAGTGAACATCAGTGTTCTGGATGTCAATGACAATGCCCCACAAATCAATGTAAATCTGCTTCCTGAAGGAACAGACATTCTGGAATCTGCAGAGGTGGGAAGATACGTGGCTAACTTTGCTGTTTCAGACTTGGACAGTGGTGCAAATGGAAAAATCCAGTGTCAAGTACTTGGAGAGTTTTTCAAAATAGAAGAAATTTTCACGAACATGTACAAAGTGACCATCAAAAGTCCACTGGATTATGAATCTAAACATAGACATGATGTAACCATTCAGTGCCAAGATCAGGGCATTCCTCAGCATCAGAATACATCCAGCTTTGTTATCAATGTTCTGGATGTCAATGATAACAACCCAGTGTTTCTGCAGTCCATTTACAGGGCCACCATCATGGAGAACAACCCACCTAATGAAGTCATAACAACAGTGGAGGCAGTGGACAAGGATTCCAATCTTGCTGGAAAAGTAACTTATTTTATGCACACTGATGGAAGTGATAATTTCCAGGTCCATCCCACATCAGGGGTGGTTACTGTGAAAAAATCACTGGACCGTGAAATAAACCCAGTAATTCTGTTCCATGTGAATGCATCAGATGCTGGTAACCCACAGCTGAAATCCTCCACTCTCATCAGACTGACCCTGGAAGATGAGAATGACAACACACCAAAATTCAAAAAGTCTCATTTTGAATTTTATGTCATAGAGGAACAGAAAAACCTGCCCACTGTTGGACGTCTGTTTGCCGAAGATCCCGACGCAGGACCAAATGGACAATTTTCATTTGACTTTGCCTCCCCTCGCTACCCTGAGTTTATTTTGGACTATGACACCGGCTTACTGAAGGCAGGGATGTTAGATAGAGAGCTGAAGACTGTGTATAACTTTAATGTGACTGTGACAGACAAGGGAAACCCCCCTAGGTCCAGCCTGGCTCTGGTAACTGTCCACGTACTGGACGCCAATGACAACATGCCAAGAATTATCTACCCTGATAACCATAACAACACGATTCAAGTCATGTACACTACCCCCAAAGACTCTGTAATAGCCCGAGTAAAAGCTGATGACATTGACGAGGGAAACAATTCTGTCCTGTCATTCTACATCCACAGAGTAGAACCAAGTAAGCCCGATCTCTTCAAAATGAATGCGGCAACAGGGGAGCTAATCATTGCCAAAACAATGCATCTCTATGATTCTGATTCCTACAGACTGGTTTTGGGGGTAAAGAATGGAGTTTTTACCATGTATGCTAACCTGAATGTAATCATCACCATCAGTAACAATACGGTACTCGGTCCACAGTCTGAGGGCTCGGGAGAGAGTAATATAATAATCGTTATAGCTATTGTGGTGGTAACCGTGATCCTGTCTGTTGCTATCATTGCTGCCATTTGTATTGTGAGGTACGTGGATCGACATCGTCAAATTCAGAAAAAATCAAAAGAAACACAGATAGACTTGAAAAAACAGGAGAGTCTCACTACGGAATCATCACAGTTTACAGAAATTAAGTCACGAAATAAGAAGGAGGTGAGCTTCTCACTGAGTGATGATGATTCGATGAATATCTCCTCCCTGACCAACATAACGTCATTCTCCTCCTACCTGAAGAACCCCCACTCTGCCTACTCCGTGGATGGAAAACTCACAGAGGTAATTACATACACAAAAATTAATCTGTTTTATTTATTAACATTTTTTTTTAAATTACATAAAATAATCAAGTGATATTTTCTTAAATATATGATATTTTGATATTTAATGTAAAATTCATTTTTGTAAATTTCACAATTCCTTCTTGTCATTGAGCAGTAAAGTATGTATAGGCATGGTTATCTAACCAAAACACAAAACAACAGATTGATAACAAAGTTTTTTTTTATGATGGCAATCTTGAAATTGACACATTAGTGATAAAATGCCTGGGACTTCAGAAACTGTATTCTAACTGTAAATGAGCCGGACTGGTCAGGGGATTTGGTCGGGTATGGTGTCACCTTACCCCTGTAGGTACGCTGGACAAGGTGACACAGAAGAATTGATTGAACTTGATTAAGACAACCAGGTTTTCATGCTTAAGTGTTACTGGTAATGGTAATTAGGTAAATTTGTCCTGGTAGATCTGAACATGAATAGATTATGAAGATAAATGACTGGTGGTCCCAGATAAATGGAACTGTTATGTCAGGTGATTCCAGAATTTTATTGTCATTGATCAGGGGCATAAAATGACCAGAAATGGACATTTCATAAGAGAGTACCTGCACATTCATGGTAACGAGAATATATATATCAGCTTTAGCCTGATTTTATTTGAACAGTCCTCTTGTTTTGCTTAGTCAAGATAAATATATATCTACTTCTGGATTTGTTAATCATGAAATGAATAGCTCGGGCTCCATAATTCAGTTAGAAATGTAAATTTTCTTTATTAATAAATACAAAACCAGATTTTCCTTACATACTTGAGAAATTCTCTTTGAACCACAAGTATGATGATATAAGGAACAAAATGACAGAAATTTTAAATGACTCCCATGTTTATATGATGTCTTAAGATTTCCCCCTACTGACCATTTTACTTTCTCAACAGTTAAGAAAATACCTTCTTACAAATGATACAATTCAATTGAAACCAATTTGGACCAAGAGTCATGTTTATATAAAGCCACAGGAACCTGCTGGTTCAAAAGTCAATATTTATACCTCTGTTTTACAAGTATCTTAATTATCTAATACCTTTGGCTATCAACACCTCCTAAAATAGTCAGGAACATTTCCCAGAGTTACATGTAGCTTAAAGACAATTTAAAAGGTCTTTTTCTTGGAATGTGCTCTTTGAATTCTCAAACCATTTGAAAAATTCATGCAGAAGGGATTAGGTATACTGACAAGCCCGACTCATCCCCTCTCAGCCCTTTGTTTTTTCGTCGGATTTTCTTTCAAATTCGGCATTGCTGAGGGGTATTGATTTATTTGCAGACCACTTAAAGTTTTAGACAACATTGGACTTTCACCAATGTCTCCATGATCTCAAATAGACAAACAGAAAGACAAAATTATGATGTCATTGTACCTTTACGATATTTTCATCCTATAGTATATTCTTTGTAATTAGTTTTATATTATTAATTTATTAGATATTATAAATAATAAACCCTTAAATTTTTAAATTAAAAATATATATTTTCAAATTACTGAATATATTTTCAAAAATTCAAAACCGTTTTGAAGGAAATAGAAATACATGGAGACCTGAAGATACAAGAACCAGCCCTTTAATTCAGTAATGCATTACTTTAGAAAGAGGCTCTAGTGTCACTTAAATAACTGTAAAGATGGCATTAAATTTCACTGGATTGCTCCTCGCTGCTCCTCAACACGTTAACTTTACAAATTCAAGTTCACCTTTAATTGATTTCATGGGCGCAGGTGATCAATGCAGCTCCGCACACAGGATTGTTTAAATGTTCAAGGCTTGCTTCTTTTGTTGCTGGTGTAGGTAATTACTGAATTGTCTGCAATCTTCTCCTATCTTTAAGGTCACATAGAGTTGTTTGAAGGTCATTGCAATTGTCAGTGTACACACTTAACTCGACTCAAATGCCGATTATCTCACAAAAACTGAGAAAATCTTTTGTGGGGTGTCCTTACACATTCCATACTGCATTTTTAGATACATATTGACTTTTTACTTAGGGTTGCATTTTTGTGTAATTGTATATTTGTTACTCTCTTTCTAGGGTCCACAGGCCTGTAGTTCTATTCTGACCAATAACACCCTACACTCCGATCTATCAAAGGATAATCTGACAGAGAAAAATCTCAATACCTTGTATCATCAGCAGGTCCAGTCACCATGGTTACAGCAGCTACAGGAAAAGGTAAACATTAATCTAAATTAATTTTCTGGTAACTCTAACTTATTTCATGCCAGGATAATCATATATAAGATTCCAGGCATAAGCCTCTATATATCATTTTCAGCACAAATCAAAGCAATTTTATTCCTTTGAATGTAAATCAATGCCTTACAAAATGTTAAATATTCTTTTTAGTAAGAGGAAAATAGTATTTATTAAAGTATGAAAGGTCTGGACATGTGAAATGCTCATTGATTACAGGGCCCGCGCGGGGCTGCAGATACATCTCAGGCTATCATGTGGGGTATTGTCGCTAAACATTGGTGTTCACATTACAAAGGGCTAAAACCCTCTAACACTTGTCAGTTCATGTGGATCTTTTATCCCCCAAATAATTCCTTCAGTACAGCGGAAATTTTAAATTGGTTCAAAGAGTTAAAGATTGGTGCTTGACATTGAAGGGTCCTCCATTCATTATCTGGGGCAGAGAATCTGAATAAGGACTCCTCCCTAAACAAGGCTAATCATAACTTGTCACATTTGGTTCAGAGGCTGCCTCATTAGGTCAACACAACACAAGATCTTCCTTACATTTCAAGTCAACATATCCAGTCTAATGAACCATAACACAAGGCACAAAAGTTACCCTCACATGCAAAAAGTCAATTTATGCATTTTTATTTTGGGATCTTTCCTTTGAATTGGTGATTGCTAAAATAATTCCTCGGAGCAATTTATTGGCTTTCATGTTTTGAGTATTCTCTTTGATTTTTTAGCCGAGGAGAGGCGACCCTATGCTGAGGAAGTCGGAGGATGATGATAGTGAAATGTCGGCAGAGTCCGCTACCAGTGACAGTGGGCGGGGAGGCAGCGAAGACGATATAAATAGTAACAGGGGAAACCCCATGAGTGATTCAGGTACACTCCCAACATAATTTATTGACTGTTGCGTAATGATAAAAGCACATTATTTTTGCCTGTATCACCAGTTACCATGGTAAATGGAGGCACATCTGGAAGATTAGTAAATTTTATCATCAATTATAAACAAAAATGTAACTTTTCAAACAACAACTTTGAGTTTTCCTGTATGGGATTGATATAAGTTCCCTGTAGAAATACAATTTGATTCTGTTCTCCTAGACTACAACTGCCAGTGTTTGGTCTGACCCAAAACGAATCTCTATTGCAGCTCGGTAAGTCGAGCATGCAGATCCGATCGCCAAAGATGCACGGCCTAATGCCTTGTTCAATTTGCCTGTTCAATAATACATTATATCTACGTGTGATTATTTGTTTGATGTAGGATTTTTCTTTTTTTGCTTCCTGACTTTATTGATATTCCCCCAAGATTGTGCAGCATGTTTAGATAACATCTTTTTTATCAGTTGTTTTGTTCTTTTATGTTCTAAGCACCATATTGTACTAGGCTCTCTGCTTTATTAATAATCAGTAGTCCAATTTTATACTCATTTAGTCAATAATTGGTTTTTGTTTTTACTGCTTTGCTACCTTAAAGCTGTATATGAAATGATTCTTAATTTTACTATTTTTGATTTCAGAAGAAACAAGGCAAGCTTACACCAATGAATATCCACAACCGGAGCAATCTCAAACTCCAAACAAGCACACGAACGTTTTACATTCCAGTTACAGGAAACCGCTACCCACCAGTGAAAATTATCACCGAAACATTAGTTTTAGTGATGACAGTGTGACTGCAAATACGACTGTTGATAGTGCTAAAAACCGACACGGGCGCTCTAGTCACGATACTCACAACCAGACGACGCTGTCACGGATACTGTGTATGTCGTCAGATCGCGGCCTGAGTTTTATCAATGGCCACACCCATCTAGACACGTTAGACGAGGCCACTCACAGTACGTTTGGTCTCCGTTATTCTTTACAAGACATTGACGACACTGTCAGTGAGAGTGTTTTAACACGGGACGATGACGGAAACTCCACCACCACCTCGGGGAGCTACACCATTAATCCCGACGAACTTGTGCATGAGATTGACAACTTGTTTTTTAAGTCTGATGTCATTGTTTGATGTCATCATCTGATGTGTCTCGTTAGACTTAGCGTCCCTTAATGTGCCAAAATTATGCTGCTATGTCCGTAGTTTGTTGCCCTGGTAACCAAATCTGGGCTTACAGATATATATATAGCAAGACTTAAAAAGTCACACTGTACAAGGTGCTATTAGATGTTTTATGGCATCATTTAACAAAAGTCATTTGATTCAGGGCTTATATTTCACATCCAGTTCTTCTGACCTCATAAAAATTGATAATTTATGAAACAAGAATCAGTATTCTGTTGTATGGTGATAACAAAGATCTCTAAATCAAAATCTCATGTAATCTCATTCTTATTATATTGCATTTTCATCAATGTTTTCATGGAATGCAAAGCATTCATTCATATTTTACAGAAATACAAATTGTTCATTTCTATTTTATGTTTTATCATCCAAATTTGTTATACTCATTTTAATGCAATTTTATGATGTCAAATTGCAGTTGTTGAATTCTGTACATAGTAATCTGTAAATTGACTAATGTTTCACTTTTTAACTGCAACAAAATAAAAAGGAATAGAAAATGATCTGTTATATCTTATCAAATTTTTTAACTGATTCAAGACAAAGCAGACTGACATCATTGGTTTTTAATTTGCAGTCTCTGTAACTCCAAAGGGGAGGATGTTGAATGAACTGCTGTTTCCTTGGTTAACAAAATTAAATTCCACATCTATAAACTGCTAGACAAATATATGGAACTTTCAATATTCAAATTTCCAATGTCTGTCCGACATAAAATTACAAATAGTTAATGTACTTTATTTCTACATAAATATACATCGATAGGTGCGGTAAAAAAATTCACTTATAATTTAATTTTAAAATAATTTGGGGATGTAAAATCGTGTTGTTTTTATTAGTTCAAATTTACCGCGCAATAATACAACCGTAGTAACGGAAGTGATGGGAAGCAAGGGGAGGGATACATAGATCTAGCAGCCATGATGCTTGTTTACATGAGGTAAGATCGAGCAACTGTTTTAAGTTACAGGTACATTTATTGAATCTGGAATTTTTCATGAAGAGGACTGGAAATGAGGGGTAAATATAAGCTGGTTGTCAAGGGGGTGTGTCCCCATACCAAACCAGATTATACAAAATGTTATGCGTTCCTTTTTGGAAATTGTACAAACAGAATTAAATTATTTCTACATAAATATATTTTTTGGTAAAAAAATTTCATGACAATAATGAAAGCATGTGGATTTGCAGAATCAAGAGCATGTAAATACATGTATAAGGAATAATTGTCAGATTTTTTGGTTTCATGACAATAATCAATCGATTGGCGTGATAATTTTATGCATAAACACTGAAAATAAAACAAAAAATTAGTTATTCCAACTGGTCCATTAAAATCATAAGAGATTATTGTAAATTAGAAATAAACTGCATAAAAAAATGGTAAAACACTAGACAAAATTTCATAATTTAAAAATGCATTTTTCAATTTTTTGTTTTCAAATTATCAATTTCTGTGAAAAACTAATCCAGTTTTAATTCTATCAACCTGAAACTTTCAATTTTAGCATTAGTAGGATTATTTCTAATTGAAATGTATTCCAATAGGCATCATTTAATAAATTGCAAAAGCTCTGAAATACGTGCAGGTTTTGGTTTTTGCAGAGATTTTATTGCCCCTGATTATTCTAGTAACAAGCCCTAAGGAGACCAACACAATTCACAGCCCCAAGGGTCGGAATACAAGTCTGTCTTGATGACCGAATGATGGCCTTTGTAATAAAACATGTTTTTTGTGTCACTTTACCACAGGAATCATTAAATAATCTACAATGGCTATCATTTCCATGTTCTGTCCTCAACAATACAAGGAATACATAACGTGTTCCTGTCACCATTCTATAAAGGGAGACAATTCAGTGCAGCTCATCGGAATTCCATGTCTCTCGACTAATGAATTATTCATAGAAAGGAAGAGCTCGTAGTGTTATTTCTTTTATAAATCAGCTTCTAAATACAATCTCTTTAATTTTTTATAAGAGTTGTGAGGATTTAGTAATTCAAAAGAAGATTTTTTTTAGCTGATTAACACTGTATGAACATGAATTTAAATAAAATTGGAACTGAAACTCACAGTTACTGTAAATGGTGTGATGAACTTTGGCACAATAATGTACCAATTTTTGAAGCATATACAGCATATACTTTATCATGAATGAAATAAAATTCAAAATTTGAGGAAGAGGGACATATGTATACTCCACAAGAGAATCTTTAAATATGTGTAAAACACAAAAAACGTCAGGGCACATAATACTAATCCCCTACTGCAAGTGTACTGCTTCCCGTTGAAAATTTTAAAAAGATGTTAAAAATCCTACAATAATGCAAGTCAAAGAATAAGTGTGATGGATTCACATTAGTATAATGATTTTTTTTCTTCAAAATTTCAAATGACTCTTGTGTTCAAATGACCAATGTTTTGTGTGGTTTTACCGGTTATTAACCAGAAAGGCCAGCCTGGTGTTTTATTGCATTATTTTTATGTGCATGATCATCATGTGTAATAATGGATCTGTCACAAATCTGACAGCTCAGGTGATGTATAGCCAGGTGAAACAATACTGGTTGGCACCATAGCATGACCTTGTCTATCCAGAGGTCATGTGGCTACGATGACTTCATCCGCTGTCGGTGGTGGTTTGAAGTTACGAATTTACACAGGTGTAAATCAAGTTTACCTGCTTAATTTGATTGTTTATGTTTATGATGTGAACATCAACAGACATTAATGACACCCATTTCCTTTTGTTGTATCTGCTTAATGTCTTTTTCATAAATAAACCATGTAGAAAGAAATTGATTTTAATATGCAACACAAGGGATATAACTCTTCTGTAATTTATTTTCAAACATTTTTATTGCATTCATATATGTAGCAATTAAGAACATCAAAATATTTTACTATGATTTAATTGAGATCTAAAAGGGAAAAAATACTTTTAAAAAAATATTTGTCAATTATCATCATAAAATGCAGACATAATTATAACATTTTAATAATAATCAATTTGAATGAGTATTTTTTCTCAAATGAAAAAAAAAATTATATGTAAGTTGTGCAATTAATTTTAGTATGCATCCAATTTATGTTTTGAATCAATTAAATAGAAATAATTGAATTTAAAATAATATAAACTGGAAGACTTTTTGCACTTTTGCACATTGAATGTGGATGTTAAAATATATTCTCAAAAATTCTGTCTCTCATGAACATCAAAAAATATCATTTTATCTGATAAAAAATTATACTAACATATATTTGATAAAATTTTATACTAACATATATTTGATCAATAAAATTAAATAAAAAAAAAAAATATATAGTACAAGAACAATTATTTGGAATTAAAAATATATAATGGACAGTTAGTTTTGAAATAAATGTATTATACTATAATGATATACTTATACTCCTTTTCTCCTTTTTCAAAACATCAATTTCTAGAGAAATATAGCATCAACAACTGAATCCAAACATGAAATAAAGACAAATAAACCTATGGCTATATCATGTTAATAACATTCTTTGAATCTTGAGTATTTTACAGGATATGAGACATGGCGCTTTAACAAGTCTCTGATACAATTATAGTACAATATTGGGCTAGAGTTAAGATATAAGTATCAAATCAATGATTCTGATTGAATTAATCCTTTGTTTTGAATTAATTGTATTTTGTTTTCAAAATCATAACAAGTACCCTGGTATTAAAAAACATGCATTCTGACAATATTGAAATTTAGCAGTATAAAAAAAGTTGGCAAAAAAGAGCCAAATTTCAGCTACCAAAAATATACATCAAAAATGATTTTTTTTTCAAATATGAAATTCTTTAAAAAAAAAAAGTGTCTACAGTTTTAACAGCTATATACACAAATTAATAGAATCATTTCTTTTTATCACAAACATTGTTAGCACTACCATTTTAATTCAACTTTTATGGCACTGGGTAATGTTTGATTGTCTCAAAGTTCATTGCAAACTCAAAATCTTCAGCTACACAACAACATCAGTATTGAACACACTTTCAAAATTTGAAGGATTGATGGCAAAACTTGCCAGTGTTGTGTCATTGGAGTGCTGCGACTGGCTATCTGCAAGAGTTATCCTCCCTTTGAAGTCCAGTGAAGGATCCTGGGAAATCTGCGACTCAATGTCATGGAGAGAGCCCTGGTCCCTGAAATAGTTATTACTCTGAGGGTTTCTGTATGTATCAGTGTCCTGATACGAGATCTCAGTGAGCTCCTGTATTGGGTCATAAGGATCAGGCGAAGCACTTATGGTCGGAAGTTCTCGTCTCACTGCAGATCGAGATGGCTGATGTGAAAATTGGGGTCTTGCCCGAGCAAAATGAACATTTTTATTACTTCTGTCCAAACTTTTTGAGAAGAAGGGTCCAGAGTAGGACTGAGATAAGTCTATGTTATTATGCTTAAATGAGGAACTGTGAGACAGATCTAATTTTTCTTGACTTGCAGAGGTGTCTTTTGTTAAATTATCAGATTCCGAACTGGATCTGAACCTAGCAAAATAAATTGGAGGCTTTGTCTTCCGATGTAACATTTGTTCATCGAGACTTATGTTACGCTGGTAATCACTGAAAGTCACTCTTGCTTTCTGATGCCAGGGGGAGTTATTTGGAATGTCCTGTTCAGAGTGACCAGGTGAGAGGGAGTGTGTTGATTTGTCAGCAAAGCCAGCTGAAGGTGGAATGGAAGAGAGGTCCATGTCTGCAAAGATTTAAAGGAATATTTATTTAGTTTATTGCACAAACAGGGATATCAGAAAACAATGTTACTGTAGATACTTGCTTTAACATTTTTAGCTCACCTGAGCCGAAGGTTCAAGTGAGCTTTTCTGATCAAAATTTGTCCGTCGTCTGTCGTCCTTGTAAACTTTTTACATTTTCATCTTCTTCTCAATAACCACTGGGCGAATGTCAACCAAACTTGCTACAAAGTATCC